AGCAAGGAAACCCAGGGATTTTCTGGGAAAATTCCCACTGGGAATCCCTGAGATGCTCAGGCGTGGGAATATGGCAGTGCTGGGTTGATGGTTTGTCTCCGTGAACTCAGAGGTCTTGTCCAAATGAACGATTCTGTGATGACACCCAGACTCCTGTAACCAACCAAGGAACAGAGCCTGTGGTGGGGAAGGGGTGAGCTCAGCATGGGCTCAAAGTGAAGATCATCACCCTGATCACTTCTCCAAGTGAAGGAGAATCATTCCTGATCACTTCTCAAAGGGAAGGAGATCATCACCCTGATCACTTCTCCAAGTGAAGATCACCCTGATCACTTCTCAAAGGGAAGGAGATCACCCTGATCACTTCCCAAAGTGAAGGAGATCACCCTGATCACCTCCCTGAGTCTCCAAGGGGGAACAGAAGCATCTACAGAAGAATCACAGAATGGTTTGGGAATCAGAGAATGGAAGGGACCTTAAAGCTCACCCAGTTCCACCCCACGGGCATGGGCAGGGACATCTTCCACTATCCCAGGTTGCTCCAAGCCTTGTCCAACCTGGCCTTGGACACTTTCAGGGACTGGGCAGCTAGAGTTTGTCCTCTGAGCAAAGAAGGAATCTACTGTGTGAGAGAGAATTCAACCTATGAGTCTTGTAGGATGGTGATGGATGGATAAAATAAAGCATATGCCCCTGGTCACTGACTGGGTGTTCCAGGGACAGATGCTGAAAGTTTCAAATGTTAAGTGAGGCTGGATGGGGACACTTTGGACAAGTGGCTTCTCCAATAATACTGATGTTTTTGTAAAGCCACGCTTCATACAGTGCCTTGGGAGCTCCCCACAGCCCACAAACCCCAGGCCTCCCACCAAGGCCATGGTTCCAAGGAGAAGATCCCATATCAAACCAGGATCTGGCCAAGGACAAAGCTCAACTTCTAACTGCCTCTCCAGACAAAGTGAGCTTGAAAACACCCGGACTCCAGCCTGCCTGTCTGCCATCCTCCTCCATTGCAAGAACTGGTGAGAAAATCTGGGCTCTGGCTGAGCAAGGCCCTCTGGAGCCACCCTCACAGCAAGCCTGTCAGATACCAAGGAAGGATCTCCAACCCCAGAGGTTTTTGCTTCAGAACAAGTTCACCTGATCCAACCCACTCCATATTTCACCATTTCCTAGTTCCCAGAAGGATGAATGGCAAGGGGAAGCAAGGGGATGAGCTCTGGTGTTCATTTTCAGCTTGGAGACCTGGCCATGCCTCTAACACACCTGTCTCACAGAGGGAGATCCCCCAGCACCCGACCTGCTGAGCAAGCTTGGAGGGATCCAATCTGATCAGATCTCAGGGATCTGACCTGAAGATCCCTCAAGACAGGAATCCTGGTGAAGCACCACACCAGGAGAGCAGTCTGTGTGAGCCCATCCCAGGCAGACTTAGCAAAGAAACCCAGATTCATTCAACATCCCCATGCCAGCCCAATTGGGTTCAATCTGCCAAATTATTTTGGCATGGGGAGAACTGTTTGGGGCCCAAACTTCCATCCCAGCTGTGGGTGAAGAGCCTCCCCATGCTGGGCCCTGCACCCAGAGCGTGGGTGCCCCCCAACCCCTGCGTGTTGCATCCTGCATTTCTCTGCTTTGAACCCACCCTGGCTGCAGCAGGGGTGTTTGCCTTCCCTCCTCAGGGAGCTCTGGCCCAGGACAGCCCTTCCTGGCTGTGGCATTCACATTCTCTGGAAAAAGTCCTTCAACCAAAGGGTTTTTCTCCTGGGAAGCTGAAAGGCAGAGAGAGGCCTCAGAGAAAAGGAAGACAATTCTTATCTCATTTGCTTCTCCTGTGTTGTGCTCATGTGGAATGTGTTTGGAGATTGTTTCCCACAGGTGATTGTTCCAATGGATTCTGGTGTGAGTTGTTTTCAGTCCTTGGCCAATTGGGGCCAAGCTGTGTCAGGACTCTGGAAAGAGTAACAAGTTTTCATTATCTTTTTAGCATTCACTAAGTATCCTTCCTGTATTCCTTAGTATAGTGTATTATACCTTAAAGCTCATCCAGTCCCACCCCCTGCCATGGGCAGGGACACCTTCCACTATCCCAGGCTGCTCCAAGCCCCACCAACCTGGCCTTGGACACTGCTAGGGATGGGGCAGCCACAGCTTCTTCTCTGAGCCACAGTTTCTTCTCTTCCTTCTGTATTCTTTAGTACAGTATATTATACTATAATACAGTATAAGTAATAAATTAGCCTTTTATATTATAATATAGTATAATAAAGTAATAAATTAGCCTTCTCACATGGAGTCAGATGCATCATTCTCTCCCTCCATTGCTGGGTGTCCCTGGCTGGAGGGACTGCCAGGTATTGGAAAATGCAGATCTGAAATAGCCAGGTATTTCAGATCTGTGCTGCTTGTCCTTTCCATCCTCACAGGGGTAAAACACACAAAGCATCCTCACCAGGCAGACACCTGGCACAGAGCTTCCCTGCTGCATCCATCCCAGTGCACAACAGCACCTTCCATTCAGGATATCACCCCAGAAAGGCAAAAAAAAAGCTGGCAGGGAGCCCAGGGCTGGCTCTGCCCCCGAGCGGCAGCCCTTTCATGTGGCTCCAACGCCTCTCACACTTTCAAAGGCACACCAACCCACTCCATGGATGTCTCACAGCCCACTGTGTGTGTTCTGACAGAGCCCCTCTGCCAAGGAAAAACAACAGCGAGCGTGTGTGGATGTGTGTATACACAAAGGATTGACAGAGGATGTTGCTTGCATTTTTACAGCTTTGTTGGAGGGTTTGGTTGGGGTTCTTTTTTTAATATAAAAGCCTAAAGCAAATACAATGCAGAGAAAAGGATTTTTTAAAAAAATCTTTAATACTTTACCTACATGCATAACACCTGTAGAGCTCTGACACTCCCCAAGGAACATGTTTTATAGTAAGTGTTTCAGGCTGAAAAAAGACAACTGCTTAGAAAAACATTGCTACTGGCCACTACTGCACATCCTGCCAACATGAGCGCTCATTCAGGGACACAATTAAGTCTTTTAGGGAAATCTATCCCAGGAGCTACACACCAGCTTTGCAAGCTTCAACCTTCAGGTGTTCCCCACCTGCAGGAGCTGAACCCTCCTGCTTTATGCAAGGATTCAGTTTGTAGCAGAATAATGAAGTTTTAGTTCTTTTTGGCAAATAGAAGCAGGGAATCTAACCTTTAAACCTTCCACAGAATCCCAAAATGGTGTGGGTTGGAAGGGGCCTTAAAGCTCATCCCATTCCATTCTCTGCCATGGGCAGGGACACCTTCCACTATCCCAGGTTGCTCCAAGCCCTGGCCTTGGACATTTCCAGCCTGTGCCAGGGCCTCACCTCCCTCACAGGGAGGAATTCCTTCCTAAAAGATCACAATGAACAATGAATTTCAATGCATACAAATGCTCACCCTCTGCCTTCAGCTGAATAAACAGCCACCAGGCAGGACAGTTCTCACCTCAACACCAAGTTTCAGTCCTCTGAGGTGAATTTCTGCCCACATTCTGCCACCTTTAAGACTGAGAGGTGGATATGGTCACTGGGTGGCTTCAAATGCGCATCAGCAAGCCCACTGCACGTCAGTCACTTAAAAAGAAAGGTTTTTTACTTTTGAACAGAGATTTGAGGACTATGGGAGCTCTGAGTAGGAACTGGGCATCTGAGAAATCTGCTTGAGTGGAAATTATCCCTGTTTATGGCAGGGGGCTGGAACTAGATGGTCTTTAGGGTCTGTTCCCATCCAAACCATTCAGTGATTCTATGATCTCTGTGTCCTCCTCAAATCCAAGTGCTGATACCAGCACATCCTGAATGAATTCACCTGTTGCACGTTCACAAGAACTTCCTAGGCCAGACACATGGATATAATGACAAACTACACATCTGCCCACTGTCAGATTTTTATAGTTTTCTTTGAATCACCCACTGCCAGCACTAGAGACAAGACATTTGCCTGGAAAGCCCATGCAGTCATGTCAGCTCTTTCACTCCTAAAGGATGCCACGTTTTAGCTGGGTTAGAATGAACCCTTCCACCCCTTTGGAGCAGGTCTCTTGGCTGTGTGGTTACTCACATACAACACCCACTGCAATACATTTGTGTACAACTATAAAAGGAGAAAATAGAAGCACTTTATTTTCAGTATACAGACTAAATCCCACCATAAAATCAAGATAATGAACAAGCACACATGAATAAAACACTCAGCACTTAAGCAAACCCCATTTTTGCCATGTCTGTGTTTCTGCAGTGGCTCCTGCAGCTCCCCAGGGTTGCTCCCAAAGGTGGCTGCAGTACTCCCAGGAACAATCCTCCCTCTACTACACAAAACACTCCCAGTTTGCATAAAGTGCTACATTTTCCTGTATGCCTTGAAATACTAGTTAGGTACAACACTATTTCATCATCTCTGCTCCCAAACTATGTCCAGTCCCCCTTCCACCCTGACATCAAAGCCACAATTATTCTACAAGGAGGTAAAAATCAGCAGGTTGTAGCAATACAACTCTCCAGAGGTGCACAACAATGGCCAAGTGTGATCTGCAGCACAGACAGCAAGACAGAAATGCTGAACAGCTGTACCACACACATGCACACAATCACCTCTGTATAGCCTTCTTCATGGTGTGACTCCTTCCACATCACACTTTTTCACATTAAAAAAAAAACAACAGCCCTTGTCAAATTTAGCCCATTTAAAGCTGCCAACAAAATTGGGTTCCATGTGCTATCAATGGGCATGTTATTGCTTGTAGTAAATTGGAGAAATTTGGACCTACACATGAGATTGGCTTGCAAAGCAGAAAGGTCAGCAGAGGCCCCTCAGCAGTTTTAGGAACTGACCAGCTGGAATTTCCTGCACCCTGCACACTGGCTACAACACTGCAAATGTCCAAAGCACACCTAGTACCATCCTCCAGCAAACAGCCCATCCTCTCTGGCTCCTATTTAATACACAAGAGCACTCAGGTGATTTTTGTAACTCCATCATGCTCACCTTGGCTCGTTCACCTGAAAATGGGGCACAGGTGTGATGGCAGAGCAGTGCCAAATCCTCTCAGCACTCACATGTCACCAGAGTGAGCTGGTATTCTTGCAGAGCTGTGAACATGCCCAGCAGAGCAAAAACATCCTCACTGGATTTTCCAGCTGCCAATGACCCACCTCAGCCAGGTGACCTTGCACAATGCAGCCTTCACACCTTGTGCCTCTGAGTGTGGAGTTTACAGCTGAGTGTCCTCAAGGATTAATAAAGCAGCTCTTGGGATTGCTGCCAAGCCAGCAGTGACTCAAAGGCTCAGTACAAACTCACAGTGGTGCATGGCAACACCAGGCCATTCCAGACCCCAGCCAGCCCTCACAGCTCACTGCCTAAAGCTCCTTTCTTTGCTAACACACCTTGACTACAGCTCTGCTTTACAGCCTCTCCTGCTAACTATACTCTTCAAATCAGCTCTGACTGCAACAGCTGCCCTCAACCTAACAAGTACAGAATGGATAGAGTAATTCCTGTCTACTGCTGCTCCTGATGCAATGCTACCTATAAAAACACAACTAATTCTGCCAGCAGATGATCCAAACCAACACTGCTCTCCAACAGCAGATGGGTGAGGGAGGGCTGCAGATTGCCAAATCTCCAGGCTTTCCACACCACAAAGGAAGGTAGCAACAAGCAGCCTTTGAAACAGCATTGTCTCTGTATTTTTCTCTACCATTGAATCCCTTTTCCACACAATTTAGTGAGTGAACTAGAGGCTTCTCTGGAGCAGTGGAAGAAAAGAGATGGTAAATAAATAACGAATTATAAGAACTAGGCCAATAGTTTTACAAAGTTTTCCTTTTTGGTACCAGCACTGAGCACTGCTCGTTTCCAGGTGGAGAGAAATACAAAACACTTCAGTCTCTCTGTGAGCTTAAAGTCCAAGTGACTTCTGCACAATCTGCTTGGCAATTTTGTTAAATTGTTCTCTGTCTTCCCGCCACATCTTGGAGGCGTCTACATTGGCTCCACTTTCATCATTTGGCTCTGAAACAAGAAAGACAAAGGCACGTGGGCAATGGAGCCTCTTGCTTCTTCAGGAATGTCACTTCCCCAAGGGTTTGAAACACTTCTTTAGAAGGCAGAAACACCACTACAGCAAATGCAGTGACAGCTCCTGCATTCCCAAAAGGCTCTGATTTGAGCGACCACAAGAGAAAGGGTATCACAAGAAGTTTGAGTTTAGGCAAGAAACAAGTGGCACAAGATGTGGCACCCCTGTACTGTCAAGGGCTTTTAAAATCACCTGTCTCTCCCTGCACAACGTTTTTTTTCTTATTCTCCAGCTTCCCAGACACAAAGCCCCTCCAAGCAGGCCACCCAAACAGGCTGTCCCTTGCTGGGATGGTTTGTTCTATTAAAAACCAACAAAACAATCCAAGGACACCCATAGAATATGCTTTCACTTCTGCAACGCCTTTCATCAGATGATTTCAGAATGTTTTATGAAGCACAGGGAGTGCTGAAGTCCCAGGGGCTCCCTGTTTTTTATGGAGGTAAGAAGGAACCCAGGATTTACAAGGTCTGTGGGCAGCAGGACACTGCCCTGGGGCTCCAGAAGGCACTACCACACTCTGCTCACCTCTCTTGTCACACCAATCACACCCACCCCAGCCCAGTTCATGGCAGTATCTGGGTTCCATCCTTCTCCACGTGGTCCTGATGGTGCACCTGAAAAGCCAGCAGGCGAGCAGGTCCCCAGCCTGGAGAACCTGGGCTTACACACCTGCACAGCCAGGGCTCAGAGGTTTCCCTGAAAGAAGCTGGCCACTGGTGTTTTAGCCTAATTTCTCCAAAAGCCATGGGAAAACAGGATGCAGAGGCAGAGAAGGAGACCAGGTGGCTCCCACACTTCCCAGTCTAGGTGAGGCTGCACCACAAACCAAACCATGGGAATCCCATGGGTACTGTTTGTCTGCTCAGCTTCCCAACTGCAGGTTACTATTCCAAAGCTAAAATAGCCCCTTGCAGGAATCTGTTCCTTGCTCTTTGGTCAACTTTGCAGCTTCTAAATCAATTTACCCTTCACAACAACTTCTAAGGGACATGGCTCTGCCCTCTTCAGGCAGTTCGGTGGCTCTGTCCACTGTGTGGAAAAAGCTCCATCTTTCAGAGAACTTTACATGACAGAGCTGATCCACAGCCCTTGTTAGATTTATGAAAAAACATTTGAAAGGCTCCACAAAAAGTTTTTCACCTCAGGTCTCTTCTCAAGAAGCCTTCCTCTGAACCAGGGATGGCAGAGAGGGGAATAACAAAGACAAACAGAGTGTGCTGGCTTCTGAACCAGAGGCCATGGGCTCCAGTTTACTGTATTGGTTTGGTCTGATAACCCTTTAGCTGCCAAAGCCAAATCCAACACAGCTTTAAAACATAAAGAACAGCACAGCAAATACAGAGAGGGCTTTGTCCAGCTGAGCCTCTGCGACCACCTGATCCATCTCTACTGTCTCAGGTGCTACTAACCTGGAAGGAAAGCCTTGCAGTAACCCCCATTACTAACTCAGTTGCATTTTTTCCAACCCTTCTCAGAAGACTGGTTCACTAATAAATAAACAAATCCCAAAGCTTTAAGAAGTGTGGTTGCTTCTGAGCAGCTTTCCACGTGCTCTGCTCAGTGAACAAAGCAAAAAGCAAGAGGCTACACTGAGGAAGGGCTGCCAGGACAGCAGTGCTCACCTGCCAGCATGCTGACAACAGACAGGAGGATCTTCTCCACGCTCTGCACGGGGCTCCACCGCTCCGCGCTGCTCTCGTAGCCCATGGGATCATCCCCAGGAGCATGGAGGATGGAGATGCACACCCTCCCATCTGGGTAAACTGCACAAAAAGCACACAGGATTGCTTGTTATTTAGTGGAAATGATCAGCATCTCCATCTCTTGGGCACAGATCAGCCTTAACACTTAGCTCTTCTATGGTTAAAACTAAATCCGGGTTTAAATTTCCTCTATAAGCAAGAGGACAGAAAATATGAAAGACAAATCCCCAGGACAAATCTTCTTTAAGCAACTCCTTCCCCAAGTGCCTGTTGGGAACACTTGTGTCATTTAATAACCAGAAAGGCTCCATGGAAGAAATGAATGATGCAGCCTGGTGGAATAAGGCAAGAATTTATGCACAGACACAGCTCCAAGCAGGTAAGCAGTGCCACTCAAATGGAAATGAATGCACTGAATGCACATTGGAGTCCTCCACTGGACTGTGACCATGAAAAGCATTACACAAAGGAGGGAAAAGTGTTATGTTACATATATTATAAACATGAGAAAAAAATAAAGTGTTCTGTTAAATATATTATGAACAGTAGAACTGATCTTTCTTTTTGAATATTACTGAGGTGCACTCAGAAGAATTCCCACTACTTTTTTTTTTGCTTAAAGCCCAGCTGCATTAAAGCACCTGGAAAGAAAGAAACCTATGAATTAAGGATCCAGGTGCTTCCCCTCCCACCTTTAGCATAAGCAACAGCACAAGTTGTCTTCACAGAGACTGGACTCCACTGACTTGGTAATGAAACCAAACAAAGGTTGAAGAGGCACCTCAAAAGAAAACATTGCTCTACCAACATGGCCTAGTTCTCCTGCATGGCAGGCTCCTGAGGAATAACAATTTTAATGCAGTAATTTCAGGGCTTCTATTCCTCAGGTGACCAAGCTGGTGCCATTGCCAGGAAAGCAACACAAAACAAAAAGTGGGAATGACTGCTGGAAGCAGCTGTGCTGCTGCTGTGTTCCATTCACCCAGCTATGCCCAAGCACGTAAGCACTGTGGAGCACTTTTATTCCCAGTCCTTCCTGCAGCCCCAGGCTGGGGACTGGAGCTGCTCTAACCATAGCTGGGAGAGGTGAAAACAGCAGGGCAGGTGCTGAATCAGCACTTCCTGCAAGCCAGGAACCCACTGGCAGAAGGGATTCACTCCTGTTCCTGTGCAGTGCCTCATTTGAAACAGCTGGAGCACAGCAGCACAGGCAGGACATCAAAGGCTGGTTGCAGGAAGATGTATGGATCCTCTCTGCTCTGCTCAGGTGAGACACACCCCTGTCCAGCTGTGGGGCCCCAACCTGAGGGTGTGGAGCTGTTGGAACGAGTCCAAAGGAGGCCACAGAGAGATGCCCCTGAAACAGGCTGGGAGTGCTCAGCCTGGGAAAGAGAAAGCTCCAGGAGACTTCAGAGCTCTTTCAGTGACTAAAGGGGCTCCAGGAGAGCTGGACAGGGACTGGGGACAAAACATGGAGTGACAGGACACAGGGAATGGCTTCCCACAGCCAGAGGGCAGGGATGGATGGCATATTGGGAAGGAATTGTTGAATTGTTCCCTGTGAGGGTGCTGAGGCCCTGGCACAGGGTGCCCAGAGCAGCTGTGGCTGCCCCTGGATCCCTGGCAGTGCCCAAGGCCAGGCTGGACAGGGCTTGGAGCAGCCTGGGACAGTGGAAGGTGTCCCTGCCCATGGCAGGGGGTAGAACAGGATGGGTTTTAATTTCCCCTCCAACAATCCTTCCCAAAGCACCTATTAGCTGTGATGTCCCCACACTGATGCTCAGTGCCAATGCAAGCAATACCATTCATCACTTTTTAGTTACTTTTGCCAGGGTATCCAAGGACATTTTAATATAACAGAAAACAGTTCTGTGGTATCCCAATACCCCCTTCACACAAGATAAACTGCAAAGATGAGGGGACACAGCAGACTTTTAAAACATTTTCCTTGTGATTTCTCACAGGGGGAGAAAAAAGTAGAAAAAGCACAGCCCAGCCACCCCTTTCTGGGTAGAAGCAGCCCACCACAGCCCCAGCTGAGAAGAAACATTCAAGTGTCTACTTCAGGTCATCTCAGCTTCAGATTAAGAAGACTCAGAGACACAGGGCTTTAAAGAGCTGAGCTGACCATCCAGTGTGTTCCAATTATGCCATGGAACAAACATCCATGTGTAAAGCCACTCTAACACAGGAGTCAGGCAATTTGTGCCTCTCCACACCCCACTCCTCCTGGCAGTGCTGCACACAACACAGCTGCAAGCAGTGAACCTCAAGCCAAGGCCACATCTGGAGCTGCAGGGACAAGGGTTTGCTCAGGGAGACCAGTCCGGGCAAGAAGTTTGGGTAAATTAGTCCAGCTGCAGCAAGGTGCTGACATGGCCACACTGCTTCCAAGTGCCAAAGTGCTCCAGATGTGGTGCCACAACGCCCTGGGAATGTCCACACAGTTCTGTGCTGTGAGATGCAGGTGTGTCCTCCACAGGAGAATAAAGATGTGGATTAAATGGGCAAGAACCTTCACAAGTGGTGCTTCCAGAAAGGAAAAACAGAGAAACTTCAAGAAATTGCAAAGTTCCTTGTAGATAGGGTGAAATAAATTGATTGCCAGCTGAGATTATGACCTGTGTTTTCCAAGTGCAAAAATGTCAGCTGAAGAGGCAGCACTAGGCAGGAGCACAGCATTTGCCTTTTCCTTAAGGAACCTTAAGGGTTTTTAAAAAAAAGTTGAGGTTTTTTTCATGTCCAGGGCTCAAACTTGTGAGCTGTATTCCTTGTCAATGCAATTACTCCCACTGAAGAGTCTTCAGATAATATTGTCACCATCACAGATTCACTAAGGTTGGAAAAGGTCTCTAACTCAATCAGTATCACAGAGCAAAGGCCAGCAAAGTGTTAATATTAAACACCTGTAAATGTGTTGTCTGCTTGGACAGAGCACTGTGTTTCAGAGAGATCCCCTCAGAAATGTTAAATCTGTGATTTCATGGGGCAGAAGCCATGCTGCCTAATAAAGTTGCACCCATGAACAACTTTTCAGTCAGTAAAATAATACCAAAATACCTAAATACAAGCCATAGAACAAGACTGAGTTCACGGTGTGTTGGGACAATGCTCTCAGGCACATGGTGGCATTCTTGGGGTGTCCTGCATAGGGCCAGGGGTTGAACACCACGATCCTGATGGGTCCTTCCAAACTCAGCATATTCTATGATTCTGTGTCTGGAAAGAGCCTGCATTAATTCACTAAGTCTCACATCCTGTACAGAAGATTTAAAGGCACGGAATTTGCTGGAATCCTTTTAGGATGAGCAAAAATTTTATGAGGAATAATGGGATAAAGATAAAAGGACCTTAAGACAGAGCAAAACTGCTGGGCAGCTGAATGCTCGTGCTGCCTGCTCCAGGTTGGGGAGGGAGAGAACCACCCTTGGGAAGGATGCCAGATCTGCTGCTGCAAAAGTTTCTTTTTAAGCTGCACAAGCAACTGCAACCCCCCTGTGCATCCTGCTGCATCAGACTCACTGTTGGGATGGAACATTTCACAGGTGAACCTCATCTTGGGAGGGCTCAGCGGGTAATCCAGCGGGAAACTCAGGATAGCAGGGAAAACCCCATACTCAAAACAGGTGTCTTCAGGACCCCTGGAAACAGAGCAAATGTTATTCACCAAAGTTTTAAACAGCTCTTTCACCCAAATACTTGTCTAATGAGATGTTTGAGGCATGGGTTACATCGTCTTCTCCAGGAAACAAAGAGTTAAGGCGCTCTTACCCCACACCTCATAAACTTAAATCCAAATATGAGGCTTGGGAGGCAGGGGGGAAATCAAAGCTTGCACGCTAAATTACTAGGAAGGTCACAACACTGTTTAATTAGCAGGGTGTGTCTGGATATAATTGGAGTATCTGGCTCCAAGGCATGTTCCAGGATTTGAGTGTCTGCACGTCAAGCGAAAGCAGAGGCAGGTGTGGGACTCCTGTGCCTTTGAAGATACTGTTATGCTCTGCAAGACAGAGATGTCAAATGCTGGAGCTCAAAATTAATTTATAAATGCCACACAGATCCCAACTGCCAGTATCTAGCACAACCACAAACACTTATCACTGTCTGATGCAGAAAGCACAGCAAAGGTTTGGAAAAATAAAAACACAGCTCAGAGACCATAATTGTCAGAAGACATGCAGGACAACAATGTGTCTTTGCAGACTTCAGCTATTGAGTTTGCCCTCCCTCCAGTGCAGGTGGAGAACAAATGGCTTCATCAGGGCTCTTGTAGGAACATTTCCTTATTGTGTTCACAATCTAGTTCAAAGTGCAGCCGAGTTGAGAACATAAAGACAACTATTTTACCCTGCCTACATAAAACACTTGTGGAAAGTGAGCAAAAAACCAAGTTATTTGTGAGCAAAAAACAAGTAATAAATCATTAGCCATGATGTATTCAAACTTGATGAACCTGGAGTTACATCTGGAAGTTGTAACACAAACATGATTTCCCTTGATTGGAAAGATGACGAAAAAAGCTTCAGCACCAAAAATTGTTGCCAAGGAAACCTCATGTATTTAGTAAAAGGCTGTTGAAACAAAGGTTCCACTGTCTGGGAAATAAGGGTTAGGAATATATTCATGCTTCCTCCTCCCAGTCTACATTCTCCATGCCAGAAAGAACATTAAAGTTGGTGAGCAGCAAATCCTAAAGCACTGGAAGACTTACTCTCTCAAACTTGGGGATCCAAAAGACTTGGCTTAAATCACAAGAACTTGGCTTAAATCACAAAACCTATGTGATTTAAACATGAATATTGACACTGGCAGGTAAGGTAAGAGAAATGCACCAACATTCTGCAAGAATGAAAGCCAAACTGTCTCAACCACTTTGCTCCCTTTCTGGCCTTTTCCCTAAATTTAGTCAGGATTCAATTCACATCTGAGAGTAAACTGAATGCATTTTTTCCTGACCATTTTAATTCCAGCTGCATTTTAAAGGCTTATTGTTGAACTTCTGAGAGTATGTACATACAGGCATTGAAAAGCTGGTGGGTGTCTATGTTCTGTTTTGAGAGCAAACCCACAGCCTTAAGGGCTCTTCTGTCAAATACACTCAACCCAACATACTCCATTTTAGGCCCTGTATTATGTGAGCAAAATGCTTTTGTTTCAGCCACTCAGCGCTGCCAGGATCAACTTCAAAGAAATTATTAAAGTTAATCCAAGACAGCATTTGCAGCTACAAAACACTCAGCATTTGAACTTGACAGCATCACTTTGAGCTCACAAAGGACATTGGCAGGGCCAGGGAGGTAAGAGCATGGCAGCTGCTGCCATCACCCCCTGCTCTGCAGTGATTCCAAAGCTGACAAGAAGGCAAAACATGAAAATGAGAAGCTCTGCCCTCCAGGAGCTGGCTGTAACTCATGCAAGGGGCAGAGAAGAGTGGTGGGGATCTTCCAAATAGTAGAGAGAAGTACCTTGAGGAGAACAGCTAATGGAAATTCGGAGAAAAGGCTCCTCAGGGGGGACCTTCTACAACTCCCTGACAGGAGGGTGCAGCCAGGTGGGGGTCAGGCTCTGTCCCAGAACAAGAGACAAATCAAGAAGAAACGGCCTCAAGTTACAACAGTGGAGATTTAGTTTTGATATTGGGAAAAATTTCCTCCCTGAAAGGGTTTTTCAGGCTGCCCAGGGCAGTGGTGGAGTCACCATCCCTGAAAGCAATCAAAAACCATGTGAATGTGGCACTTGGGGACATGGTTTAGTGGTGGATTTGTCAGTGCTTGGGGAATGGTTGGATTTGATGCCTTAACAATTCTGTGATTCTAATTCTATAATCACAGCTTCACATACATTTGCAAACAGCTTATTTGTGAAAAGATGCTGGAAAAACACCAAACCCCACAATCATCAGATGCCCAAAAGGGGAATGGAAACAAAAGTCATAAGCCTAATTATAGATCTAATTACCTTTCTAAACAGCTTTGTGATAAGTTGACTTCAATTTACTCTGTTTAGTTTTCAAGCAATCTTTAGGCTAATAAAGTTCTTAACCATTGCATGCTTTTGTGTCTTTTGGGGATAAACTTTAATAGCAACACACACTTGTACATGCCAACCAGAGAGGGCAAAACTTGGCCCTGAAATGTCAAATCCATGAACACAACACAGCCTGGAAGACCTCACGCAGCGCCAGGGAATTGAGCAACACAAGGCAAACTCTCCTGAAATGTTGCAAAGAGCTGGCTTTCAACAATGCTCCCCACCTCTGGTCTTCAGAAAGGTTTTCACATGGGTATTTTCAGTTCTGTGCCCATCACACTCATTTTAGGAGTGTAAAATCTGTTCTCTCCTTTATTTTATTATGGTCTTAACATTTATGCATTTTACATTCCTCCAGCATTGCTGCTGCAGACAAGAACACTGGAGATACAAATAATTATTATTTCCATTATTTAAAAATGCATTGTTTTATCTCCAAGTCAAGCTCTTATATCAATCTACGTAACATTACCCAGCCTACCTCTGAATTGACAAATGAGAGATGTCTTTTCTTTCTTAGGTCTCTCTTTTTTTAAAGTTATGTGCCATTATATAAAGCTTTATATAAATTGGGTGAAGGAAAGAAAGTATTCTGCTTTTTTCATAATTATGTTTCTTACCATTTGCACTTCATCTGGGTAAAAATTTGCAGGCAGCTTTACTCCTGTTTTCTCATCTGCACACCTCATTCCCTGAATCTCACACAGCACATCTGAGATCACACAACACTGGAGGAGACCACCACAGACAAATACAAACAAGTCATGTAACTTACTTTCCAAAGGCATTGCAAACACTGCTACTAACAAGATTTGTAAAGAGATGAAAGTAACCCAATGTGTTTGGGGTAAACATGTTTCTATTGTATCACACCTTCAAAATTGAGCAGATCTTAAAATATAACTTTATTATGACACACACACAATGCAGAAACCAAAATTAAAGCACCTCCGCCTCTCATTTTACGCTGACACAGACCTGAAGCTCAACACTCAGCACTTTAAAGGGCTTTCAAGTCTGCAGAGCAGCTCCTCTGTTCTTTAAGGATGTGACAGGAAACATCAGAAAAGGTGTTTTCTAGGCAATTCAGAAGTACCTCTGAGCGTCCCTCAGGAAACCTCTACTCAGGCACAGCACTTTGCTAGGAGGAAGCACCAATAAGCAGGAATTTCCTTCCATGTTCCAAGAAGTGCATTAAACCCTCTGGGATTTCCACACTGCCAGCAATCACAGCTGCCTGACCTGAAATCTGGCCCAGTACAAAGCAGATGTGCTGACTGTGCCTCTCACAGAAAGCCCAAGACCCTGCAGCCAAAATCTCTGATGTCAGGCAACAGAACAACCAATTTCCATGCTAAGTGTTTCTTTTCAGGGCACTGAGCTACCAGGAAGCACAACCTGTTATCCCAGGAGAAATCACTGCACATAAGCAGAGGCATTTGCCAACTCTTGCCATCAATGAGCAAAACAAGCAGTGGTAAATCAAACCTCCACTCAGCAAGGTCTAAAATAGCTCAGAGCCATGCAGCAGCATCACCCACACAGGCACTTTGTGTGCAATAGGGAACTCAGCTCTTGGATTGGTTGCACCCCTGAGCCCAAGAGACAGAAATCTTGGTTTTCATCCCTAGATAACAGATTCCAAGCAAACCCAGCTAGGAAAACTCTGCCACCCACACCAGCTGAGAATCTCCCCAGTCAGCACTGGTGGTTGCAGGGAAAACCTGCCCAGATCAGAACAGGCACAGAGAGAGCAGGGTCACAGCCACTGCCAGTCCTCTGGGACAACCCAGGCCTGGCTGAAGGAAAGGAAATCCCCAATTCTTACCAAAGGAATCCTGAAATACAGAGCCAGGATCCACCCCAACAACAGACCACCAGCTTCAAAGTGGACTCAGTGGTCTGGAGCTTCATCTTTTAATCGTGCAGTATTTGCATAAATTGTCAGATGTGAGTGACAAACGGCTTTTTACCTCTCCTCTAGCATTTTAGAATTTATTTTGTAAAAATCACCAGTTTTTCCATGTACTCAAAGTTCCCAAAGAAGGTACAGCATGAGTAGGAGTACAAGAAAGAGAGAAGACAACCTGTAAGATGCTGGGCAAAAAGATTTTGTGTTTTCATGGCAAATTTTGCTACCAACAACCACACCCATCAGCTGGGGAGTGGAAGAGAGAGAACACAGCTTTGTAAAAGAGTTTTCATCAGCCCCAAAACACAGCAGGTCAGGATCAGAGCTATTCATCAACAGAAGAGTGAATCTTTTTCTACACAAAACAACTGCATCCAACCCTTGACAACACCAACTGATTCAGGAAGTGTAAAGAACTTCAAAAGAATTTTTACTTAAATTTCAATACTTTTTCTGATCAGAACATCTCAATATTTCAAGAAAAAAAAATAGTAAGTAAACTAATGAAATATTGAAAGTAAACTAATTTTAGGCATTGATTTTTTTCTCCTGTCACTAATAATTTGTGTATTTTACTCCACTCAAAGCTTGTCCTGCACTTGCAGATAGGCAATGTTCCAAGGTATGTGTGATCTACAAGAAACTGTTTGTTTCCTACAGTGTTTGTAAATGTAAATAATATCCAAGGGAACCCAAATGAGGATTCTTGACAAATTTGTGAGCTTGTTATTATGACACCTGTACAAGAAGTTATGATAACAAGTTGTACACATCACCAATGCTGCCTCTGTCACTGTTTAAAGTCCAAATTAAGTCCCTGTTTGGATCAGAGGAGTTTCCAGCCCAAGGCAGGCCAATGCTGATGTCACACAGAACTGACAGTACTTTTTAAAATTCCTGCTCTCCTAGAAGCTCATCACAGCATCACAGCTGATTTCAGACACCAAACAGCATTTAACTCACATGATCAGGGCCTCCCATTCAAAGAAGTTCTCTTCATTCATGGGACCTGTGAAACAGAACAGAACAATGCTCAGGGCTACCTGAACACAAGGTCACAGCTCCAGAGGGCACAAACCCTGCTCAGCTCCTCACCTGCCACAATCCCTTCTGGTGGGTTCAGGGTCAGCTCTGCAAAAACACAAACACAAGGAAGACTGAGGTGATTTGTGAGCCCAAGCATTTCAGGGGGGGTGTGAGTGGCCATGGCTTAGCACAGGGGCCCCACCACCACTGCTTAATGCAGGACAGTGTTCTAGACAAAATTATTTGGCACTTTGGGGTTTTTCAGGCTCCTAGAAAACCTGAAAACTAGCCTTGGAATCACAGAATTGTTTAGGTTGGAAAAGACCTCTGGGATCATTGAGTCATCTGTCTTCACAGAGGCAATAAATTAAACCTGAGAAGGAAGACAAAAACATTTCACAAAGCCTGGGAAACACTCTTTTCTTGCACCTCTGTGGTATCTGCTGCAAACCATAACAGCCTGAAGTTTGTATTCCTGTAACCTCTCCAGGTTTGATGCACCTCAGTGCAAAACCCAGAACAACACAAAACCAGGAGAAGCAGACACAGGAGAATTCAATCCAACCTCCTGCATGGCCTGAAAAATGTGAGTTAAAAAAAAAAACCAGCATCAATAAAACAGCCATGGCTGCACAGAAAGTTTGGATCCATCAATCCTCACTTTCTCTAGGAAACAATCTTTAGCATCACCTCAAGCTGGTGAAGGCCAGTATACCACGTGCTGATAAAATAACAACCAGATTTTCTCCATCTAGTGGACTGACCATCAGTTTCCAGGCTCTGATGTTCTGCAGGGAGACAGCAGCAGCTGAGGCACAGCTCAGCCACAAACAGGCAACCAATTCCTGGGGGCTCAGCACCAACCCCAGGGCTCTGAGTGAGCCATGGGGCAGGAGGGGACACTCCCAGCTGCTTATGCAGCACTGTGTTTCCTCATCAATGGCCTCTGGAGCACCTCAGTAACACACAGAGCACAGCCAGAGACACTTGACCTAATTTCTGTCCAGGCTGTAGGTGAAAGAACAGATTTCTGTCTTAGAACAGCTCCTTTAGTGCAGCATTCAAAGATGCTGAGATGCATTGCCAGGAGAGATCTTCAGTTTGCTCAGAGTGCCCTTAACCTTGGCACAGCCCTCTCTGAAGTTCCAAACCCAGCAGCAGACTGAAACTCAGCCCTGCTCTTTTCCACACGTCCTGGCATTCCATGGCAGGTTTTTCCAGCTTCACAGTGGGTCTCCAGTAGCTTCTTGTTGATGTTTTTAGACAGAAAGAGGGTGATGTCAAACACAGGAGCTCCTGGAATCATTTTGCTCCATCTTGTGGTTCTCTCTAGGAAGAAAATGCCTCTGATGTTTCCCTGGAAAAGCTGGTGGGCAGCCACATGGAATTGTGTCATACAGCACTCCTAGGAGAACAGGGGCAATGAGAATGAACAGCCAAAGCCCAGAGCAGAGTCTTCATGAGGACAGAGGTTCCATTCTCCACTTCTTGCTCAGCTCCGCCCTGAGAGAAAGGTTTCCATCTTCAAGGATCAGGTAAAGCAGAATCTGGGCACTCAGAGGCACAGGAACTTTGATTTTCCATCTTGTGGTTCTCCCCAAGAAGAAAATGCCTCTGATGTTTCCCTGGAAAAGCTGGTGGGCAGCCACATGGAATTGTGTCATACAACACTCCTAGGAGAACAGGAGCAATGGGAAGGAATAAACAGCCAAAGCCCACAGAGCAAACGGTCTTCATGAGGACAATTCTCCACTTCCTTGCTCAGCTCCCCCCTCAGAGAAAGGTTTCCATCCTCAAGGATCAGGTAAAGCAGAATCTGGGCACTCAGGGGCACAGGAGCTTCGATTTTGAGTGGCTGCACATGATCACTGAGAAAGATCTCCAAGGGAATGGTGACTCCTACCCTGTGACTTCCCCAGAGCTGTTCAAAAGGAAACTGAGAGCCCAGCTGAACATGAAGCACAGGAGCTGACACAGCATCACTCACCAGAGCCTCCAAAGCAGGGTCACTCCACTGGAATGCCAGGGAGGTGCCCAGCTATTTGTCAGTGAGCAGCAGAAGGCAGTGAAGGCTGAAACCAGTGCTCTGATCACATGCAGAGTGACTCTGACAGAGCAGCTCGGCCAAACTCAGGGCAGAAATTTTCCACAATAGCCAATCTAAACCTCCCCAGGTGCAACTTTTTATTTGTTCCCTGGGAGCAGAGCCAGACCTTGTGACCTTAAAACAGAGCTGACACCAGATAAATGTGATGCCTCTATCAGGAATTCAGGGCAGGTTTGCTGCACACACAATCAGCCCTTTCCTTTTCATTTCCCTGCTCTTTGTGGAGTCATCATCAGGCAATTCCACCATGGAGATGGTTCTCAGGAGAGCTGAAAACACATCTTGTTAAAGCACTGAAGAGACTGAGAACATCCTTAAAAGAGAAGTTCAGCAGTGTGATTCCTAAAAACTGCAGCAAACCTGCAAGGGGATTAAAAGCCCAGGACTCAGGAAATACTATGGGCATGTGCTCAGTGCAGTATCTGACAGCATCTGGACTGAGAAAAAGTCAGTTTTCCTCTGATTCCACACAATCTCCCCAGGCACTAAGGATGGGAGGTACCCACTGAAGCCCTGCCAGGTTCAGAAGGTTTATCATTTCTGTGACTTCCCAAATCTCACAATTAACATAAATATTTTATTTTCAACCTGCCAGCACTTCCAGAGAAACCTGTTGGCATTACAATCCCTGCTGCCTGTTTGTGCCAGGAAGGAAATCCAGTGCATCCAATCAGGCACTGCAGTTCTCAGGTCTCTAGAGATTTAATTCTTCCAGATTTAATTCTTCCATTTTAGACTTGAAATTTCAGCCAGCACAAGACATCTTCAAGATCTGATGCTGTTTCTTTACTTCAAGAAACAGTACACACAGAAAAATAAGGTTTCCATCTTTTAACTCTCACAAATATAAGCTACTGAGAGACTTAGGTCAGGCTTTAATAATATTATAAATCTAGAATTAACAACAGGCACATGCTCTAATAAAAATGATGCCCTTTTTATATCTGATTTTTTTTTCAGCTTTATCCAAACTAGTTCTGGCAGAGTAGATAGTAAATCTGAAAAAGAAAGAAATCAAACAAAGATCTAAATGAGGACAAGAAACCCAATCGGTGTCATCTGGATGCCCACAGCTTCCCTTCCTTCTTCAAAAGGAAAGAAAACCAGTGCAATTTCACAGCCTCTCCCAAAATGCAGAAATATATCAGGTAGAAACTCCTCACAATGCCAAGAATTTTTCACAGAAGGAAATGATAAATCTTTAAATTAAGACTCAAACAGAGTGTGGGCATGCACAGAAAAAGATGAAAGACAAAAATTGAAAAAAATGGAAAGAATTAGAAATCTGGTAAGGAAAATACACCCACCAGCAAGGCACTGAGTGCCAACACCACTGTTACTACTAGAAGTAACTAAAGGGAAGAGATAGAGGAGAAGAGGGACAGTAAAGAAAAAAGAAATGTCCATAACTGTGTAGATAACACACACAAGATTTCACCCAGGCAGGAGAGGGTCACTGAAAACCATTCCCATGCCCACATTCCCCCAGGGCAACACAGGAGGGAGAAACTTCACACTGAGCTGAACCTCAGGCTCCAGCCCTGTCCCAAGGCAGGACTTGCAAAAAGAGGCAGCAGAACTGCCTATAGCCAGGAGCTATTTTTATTTTTCATGATAACTTTAGCTGGAAATCTCTACAGGGCTAAGAGACTGCAGAGCTACAATGAACTGCCAGTCTTTAGAGAGACACGAGGGAAAGGTTGTGAGTCCTAAGTGATTCTGGGGTTTGTGCTAAAGGGAAATAACAATGCACAGACACCAAAATGTGTGTTTTACTGCACTGCTGCAGCTCAGGTTTCCAGAAAGCACTGTGCACTCAGCCAGTTACATTCACTTTTTACAATACTGTGTTTTATTGGGCATGGGAAAGTGCTTGTAAAGGCAGATCACAGACAAAACATTATCTCTGTTCCTGCCTAGTGTTACCCTGGGAAACTAAGCAGAGAAGAGTCACCTCATGTCTGCCTTTGGCATTAAGTAAAAATCTTTCTGAGGTCATTTAATATAATTTTTCCGAAATATTTTGTTCATACAAGACACTCCAGTAAGATCTCTGTGCTCCTCAACAACAAAGGATCATAAATGTTTCTTTGTGACTTAGGGTACTGATATGAGAGGAGAGAAGCAGTGCCAAGATTTTCTGTGGTTGTTTTTCAGGTCACTGCCTCTGGATTACAACAGGAAAATGCAGATTTCTAGGGCACACACAGCCAGCCCCAGCTGGGTGGGGAGCCCTCGGTGCCCAAACCCTGTGTGACAGCTCAGCTCAGAGAGCTGCAGAGCAGCCTGAGAACAGCACAGTGCTGGCAGAAAATGTGTTTCTATAAATACTTTCACACAGGCTGGTTTATTCCTCGGAATGATGACAGAAACAAGTCCCCATGCCTGGACAGAGCACAGGAAGTGACCTTCCCTGGAGCACAGAGCCTGTTCTTACAGCACAGCTCCCACCAAACATTTCTCCATTCTCCATTTACTTCCTTGCTGTAAACAAAGCCAGAGCATTAAAGCACCTAGGTACACAAACAAGTATTTCTTGCCAACAAAAGGCACTTTTGGACATGTCTCAAACCCATCAGGGAGCAGATGAGCCATCCCAGAAGCTCAGGGATTCCCAGAGGTTTGGTCTCTGGTCCCTGTGGTGAGCGTCACTGCAGCCACATCCCACAGTGGTTTTTAAACAAACAAGTCTAGCCTTTCATTACTAAATTTGATTTCAAATCCTTTTACTAGCCATTCTGCTTCCATTAAGGACTTCATAGAATTCCAGAATCATTCAAGTTGGAAGGAACATTAAAGTTTATCTCATTTCACCCCTGCCATGGGCAGGGACACCAGCCCAGCTCGCCCCAAGCCCTGCCCCACCTGGCCCTGGACACTTCCAGGGACCCAGGGGCAGCCGCAAGCAGAACGATCTGCCCTGACAAACACCTGGAATTACCTCTGTTGTAATAACAGAGATTTCCATACAGATTCCCAGTATTCTGTTCCATCTGGAAAATTTAACAAGGAAAAACACCAAAATAACTGGCCACGTGCCCGGGGTTCCCAGCCTCCCCCTGGAACAGCGGAATCCCAGAGGTGTCACCTCGGTGTCCCGGCGGGACAGGGGGCAGGACTCCCTTCCCACAGCCCCCTCAGTGCCCCGTGCCCGTCCGCGACCCCCAGCCCGCCCCGGGAGCTGCATGGAGCCAGAGAGGAGCCGGGGCACGGCGACGCCCGCGGCCCGGCCTGCCCGGCGGCCGTCACGGCCCCGCCCGGCCCGCGGGCCCTCCCGGGCTTTGGGAGCGCTCCCCTTTGTGAGGGCAGCGCCAGGGGCCCGCGGAGCGCCACTCACGCTTGTACTCGGCCATGAGCCGCTTCAGCGCAGTCCCCGCCATGGCGCGGCCCCGCCGCCGCTTCCGGGTGCGCGGCCGGAGCGGCCGCGGGCGGGGCGGGGCGGAGGGCGGCGCTCTATCCGCCCGCTTCGCCTCTATGGTAGCGGCCGGTCCTCCCGCCGGTAGCAGGCGGAGCGGGAAAACCTCGGGATTGCCTATAGGAAACGATGGGGAAGATGCAAGAGAATCCGCAAAATGCCCCATGGAGCGGGGGTATGCGGGGCGGATTGCCCGGAGCAGCGCCCACACGGCCTTTCCTGCGCAGAGAGCGGAGAGCCCGGCCCGAGGCCCTGAGGGGATCCGCGGGATATCCCAGCCCAGCTACCGCCACCCTGGAAAAGGGAATATGCTGAAATCTGCCTTTCCAGCCAGATTTCAGCAAGAAGAAGCATAGATAACGTGAATAAACGTTAAGAGAAAAGGCTGGGGATGATTCCATGGAGCAGCAGGACAGCCTGAGTTAAAATTCCTCAGGAACGGGCTTCCTGGAGCCCAAAACACCACACAAATAATTAAACCTCAGCAAGGCTGGAGGGGCAGGACAGCAGCTTATTTGACGACACCTAAATGTCTCTCCTCACTGACTAGCGCTTCTGCACAGTTTGGTGACATTAAAAGGCATTTCCCCCTCTCATTTACCAAGTTTATATACCAAAAAGAGGTATTATAAAGAAACCTGAGGCCACAGACTTCCAGTGCCCACAGAGAAAGACTCAAAGTTAAGGGAGCAGGGCAAAGGGATCGATGCTGCCCAGCCCTCAGCAAACAGCTGGAATTTCAGTGATGGGATTTTTATCACCTTGCACAACAAAAAAACACAGCTACTCTATCACAAGCATTAAGTTTTTGGACCAGCTGCCTAGCTACCTCCAGCTCTGCAATAGTGCAGGACAAAAAAAAACCCCATTTCTGCATTAAAAAAGTATATTTTGGCCTACTTTATCATAATATGAAAAACCACATGTAAACCTGAAGTATTTAAACCCTATCCTAAGCACTGTATTGTGTTCTAGCCCCAGTCAAGGGCAGGATGCTGCCCAAGGGATTGAATGAATTTGTAACACGAGCTAAAAACTTAAAACCTGTATCTGGTTTCTCCCTTTTCTCAAGCACATCTTAAAAGGAAACTTTTACACTCACACTTGGCATGAAAATACATTGAACTATTTATATATTTTGAGTTAAAACAGAGGGACAAGACGAACCAGGAATGAACACTCAGTGTCCCAATACATGGATGAATGCTTAGGCCACAAGTTTAAATAAAGAAAAAAAAGAGATAATACAAACAGTATTTTTTAAAAAGGCTAACAACAGAGAGACAACATATATTATTACTTAATCTGAATTTTAAATGGTGAAATTCAGACACAGCTCAATCCCTGCAGATACTATTTTGACTTGTGCACTCAGAATGTCAAAGACAACAAGCAACTTTGGTAAATATCCTGAGAAGTTTCAAAGAACCCTGTGTGATTGGCATGTTCATCTGTTCCCTAATAAAATAGCAAATCCAAGGAGAGATGAGAGTGGGGTGTGATGGGGATCCTCAAACTGTTCTCCAAAAGATGCTGTGTCTTAGCACCCTCCTCCTGTCTGCTGCTGGTACACTTCGATCGTGTCATCATGTTCCATCTCCAGCTGTGGGAGTAACACAGGAATTATTTGAACATCTTAAAAACATAGAAATGATAAGTAATACAGAAAACTTGAAAAACACATGCTGACAAAAGCACCTGGCTCTCTGCTCCGAATCAGCATTTCAGGAATAACTTTAATTAACTAAGACATGAAACACTTCCCATCAGTCATCCTGCATAAATTTGTTGGAACATGCTAAACTCACAGCAACTATTTCAGGATCATTTTGATTTCAAGCCCCTTTGATCACCACTCAGACACCCGAATATCTGTGTAGCAATTTGCAGTAAGAGTGTTTTTCATACCTGTGCAGGTGTGTCTGCTTCTTTAATGGGCTTTCCATCAAACAGGAACATAATGTACCTCATTGACAAGCCCTGCAAGTTCAAAGTTACAGATGAGAAACCACACTTGATTTCTGAATGCAGACTAAGTGCTCATGGATTTACTGTCAGAACACATGGTAACAAAATTAACACCCAAAAGACAAGGGGGATGACAGAAGATAGATTTAGATTAGGTATTGGGAAGAAATTCTTCCCTGTGAGGGTGGGCAGGCCCTGGCACAGGGTGCCCAGAGAAGCTGTGGCTGCCCCTGGATCCCTGCAAGAATCCAAGGCCAGGTTGGACAGGGCTTGGAGCAACCTGGGATAGTGGAAGGTGTCCCTGCCCATGGCAGGGGGTAGAACTGGATGGGTTTTAATTCCCTTCTAACCCCATTCAGTGATTCTCTGATTAAGATTTAACCACCAGGACACTGAGCACATTTGTCTTGCTGTCTACATTGAGGAAGGTCAAATGGTGGTAACTTTACATTGCCCTTAAAACCTGAGTTACCACACTACTGAATCCTGTTCTGACAGTGTTTAATCACATGAGGAAGTCTTTATACCCTGCATCAGGGACTGAGGACCTTGCTCTGCCCTCTAAAATCCATGTGATTCACACTTGTGTCACACACAGGAATGCTAAAACTCCTGTGCCTCTCCAAAACCCCAGATGTGTCAGGGTGCAGCAGGCACAGAGCAGGGCAGAGTGTAAAGTTTGAACAAGCAAAGAAAGGATCCTGCAAGTAACAGACAAGGGCAAATAAAATCTGACTCTGTTTCCAAAGCCATTCACATGCCCACCCTTTGCTCTGTGTAAAATTGGGAGCTCCAGGCTCAGGAACTGAGCTGTGGGATTCATCCTTCTGTTCAGTTCAGGATAGCACTAAGGAATAGCCTGTGACACCTGTGGAACACAGGTCACAACTGTGCAATAGGCAGCAGGAGACACAGGAGGGGAGAAGAAAACAGTACATGAGGAAGCTGTGGCATAGAAGAATTTATCTTGTGCCGTTTTCCAAACAGAAAATGCACTCAAAGTTGATGAAGTTTTTGGAGATGAAGGTTAGTGAATTGTTTATGAGTCAGGATCGGAACTGGAGGAATTTTTGTAACTCTGTCACGGGACATTAGGGAGCACCTGAAGAGCAAGAGGCAGCTTCCATTCAGCATCCCAGCTCCTCATTCTCCCACACACCTGGACACCCTCAGCCTGCTCACAAGCATGTTCCACGAGGCGGGCAGAGAAGCAGCGAGGGTTCCACCAGCACGGGGACGCTTCCCCGGGCTGTCGGAGCCCTTTGGGTCCGTGGGAGTCCCCACGGAGCCCCGGGCCGTGCCCTCGCCTACCTGTCGGCAGCAGTACGCCTGCATGAGCTTGCTCAGGGGAGTGTGCCGCTTGATTCTGAACTGCACCACGGAGCCGTCCTGCCCGGCAACTCTCAGGTCGATGTGCTCGTTCTCCGTTTTCACACCTTCCTGGACGGAAAACTGCAGGATGCGGCGGGCTCAGAGCCCCGCTGGGGCCGGACAGCCCCCGCCACATCCCGCGGCACCTCGGCCGCTCCTGCTGCCCCCGGCCGGGGCACCTCGGCGGCCTCGCGCCGCGGGCGAGGCGGAGCCGCACCGCAGTCCCGCCCCGCCGGGACGAGGAGAGGCGGCCGCTCCTCGCTCCCTCCCTGCTGCCCGCTCCTCCCCTCCCGCCGGCTTCTCCCGTCCCGCCTTCCAGCGGCTCCCGTCCCGCCGGCTCCTCCCGCCGCACTCCCCGCCTCACCGGGGGCTTCTCCTCCGACATGGCGGGGGGCAGCGGGGAGATTGCGCTGGGGGCGTGCCAACGGCCAAGGGGCGTGGCGGGGCCGCGTGCAGGCGCGTCCCCGCTGCGCCGCAAGGGGGCGCTGTGCTCCGGAGCGGGGAGCGGCGTGAGGGGAGCGCCCGGGACGCCCCAAAACATCCTCGGGACACCTCGAAACAGCCCCGGGACGCCCTCAGAACACCCCGAAACAGCCCCTAGACACCCCAAAACAGCCCCTGGACACCCCCGGGACCGCACCTTCCCGGTCGCACGGCAGCTCCTGTGTGAGGGGAAACGGGACGAGAAGCCTTCCATCCAAGCACCCAATGTCTCCAGTCCGGCCCAGACCGGTGCTGGCGTGTTCAGATCCCCCTTAAGGGGAGGAGAGGCAAGTTCGCCTCGATCCACAATTGAGGAAAGAATTAGATTCTAAACATACCCGAAAGCGAGATTAAAACACAAACGAGGTTAAATGTTGGGATACAAAGTAATATTTCAACCTTTATTTTTTTTCATAAAGTGGGGATAGCCAAGAATAATTAAGTGAAGCAGAGGGAAGGTGTTACCACCATGGGTCCAGCCCTGCCTCACAGAGTGCAATGGGTCTTTAGCTTCTGAATTCCATCTGACAGCTGCCAGTGGAGGCAGCTGGACCAGCACTGTGGGAGGGCACGAGCAGACAGCAAAGACTCCCACACTTTGTAGATTTAGCAGCTGCAGCTTCTTTGGCACTTCCTTATAGAGGGTTTTGAGAGTGGCAATGTCATGTCCACCTCAAAGCAACAGCACACCCGTGGGCAGATTCATGTTTGCTCCCTTGAAGCTGGTCGTTGGAATCCAGCCGAAATTTGCCTGATGTATCAAAAAGTTTATTGCTTGCTTTTCTCATATATCAAGCTTTGCTGCTTGGTCACCTGATTTATCAACTACAAGCTCTCTTCCTGACTTCAAACAGGGTTTATTTTCCAAAATAAAGCAGGAATTAAACTTTTTGCTAGAGGCAGAGCAAAACTTTAATTTTCAAACTTGAATCTTCGAAGAGGCAATGAAGAAAAACTTAATTTGCTTTTTACTCATTCACTACACAGGGCCGGGTGAGAGCAGGGCGGGAGTTTGGTGCTGACAGAGCTGCCCCTGAATGGAGGGGCAGAAAGGGATCCGGGCTTCTTCAGAGGAAACCCCCTAAATATGAGATCCATCCCAGCCAAGTCCATTTCTCCCACAGGCAGTGCCCTTGAGCCGGTGGCCAAGGCTGCCTCCTCCAGCCCTAGGGGTGTTGTGGGGCCAGGAAAGAGGAGGAGGATCCGCCCCAAACCTCAGCCTCTGTCCTCACCCTGGCCGTGAGGAAAGCAGATACCAGTCCCTTCAGAATATGCTCAAAGTCTTAAAGGATTTTTCCTTTTCCATCCCCTTTCCCTGCTGTGCCCTCTCAGAGATGAGCAAAGAGGCACAGAATCAAGCAGGAATGGCCCCTGTTGGGATCTTAGGAGCCAGATTTTTTTGTTTTTCTCTTGAGGAATTTTCCCCAATACGTGTTGCCAGGATACAGTAATGAACTGGATATTTAAGAGAGACGAAAGAAGTTGTCAGCTCAGGGGAAGGGTGCACCCAGCTAAGTTCTCTTTACCTGAGGTTTCCCGTGGAGGGCAGAGATACCTCGAGATTTGGACTGGGAAAACAGTGTTGGGTCTGGCCTCTGTCTTGTGCTCTCAATATTCGGAGGGGAGAGAGGCTGTGGTCGCTGTGGGGAGAATTCATCACCACTGCCTTTCTTCTACCGTGAGTGGAGCTCTGCTCATAAGCTCCTTGCATTGGGACCCTATTAACACCCTACCTCACTAAAGAAGGGGCTTTTCACCACCTGCTCGGCTGCCTCAGGGAAAACCCCAGGCTCCCGAGCCCGCCTTTCCCTGTCCCCGCCGCTTCTTCAGCACTGCTCCGAACATTCCCTGCACTATAGCTCTTCATCCCCTGCCTGCCGAGACACCCCGTGGTTCCCGCTACAGCTGTGGAGTTTGATAAATCTCATTTACCACCATGGATTGTAAAGCAAGCCTTCCTTCCCTCCCTGCCCGTCTCGGTAGAGCCCCCATTAATTACCGCGCGCTCCCCGAGCTGGCACCGGAGCGCCCCCTGCAGGCGCGGGGCAATCACAGCGCCCGCCCTGCCCCGCCCGCCGGGAGCCAGCAGCGCCCCTGCCGGCCGTGCCCGGAACTGCAGCGCAGGGGAAAGTGCCCGCGGCCGAGAGAGGCTGACACTGCTTGTGTTTGGGGCTGCTGTAGTTATTGCTGTTTGTTTCCCTTATTAATGTTTCTTGGACTTGTTATGCATTCGTGGCAGTCACCCTAATCATTGTGTGTACTTGTATTAACTGTTATAGTTGTTGCAGCACTTTGGGCTGGAAAATGAAGTATTGGGACTTGCCTAAAAGAGACAGTCTCAGTAAAAGGGGGTACTTGATAAATAACACAGAGACTAGAAATTTTCAGTTCCTCTGAAGTTACTGAATAGAGCTTTAGGGCTAACTAGCAAAAAGGATTAAAGGTATGCATAAAGGAGGATAAATGTAGCTGGAACCAGTGGAGAAAAAGATACAGATACAAATTACATAACAAAAAACAATAGTGCATGCCCAAAGAAAAAGTTCAAAAAAGGTATATTGAGTAATATTGAAGCATTCAGTGAATATCACCACCAGACCCCCCCTTTAGATGACCTCCAGGACCAAAAAAGGACTTCCAGTAAAAGGCGAATGCATGCAAATTAGTTCTAGGGAAATGGTGTTTGCGTATTAGCTGGGAGGTACATTGTAATGAATATGTATGATCAGGATGGAATAAATACCATGTTGTGAACTTTCACCACACATCAGATTAAAGGAGATACACTTCTGTGTGTCCAGCGCTGATAAAGAATGCTGCTTTCTAACACTTCAAATTGAATTTTAAAAAGTTTATTTCAGAGCGAACATCCTAACAAACATCCTAACAAACATCCTAACAAACATCCTAACATCCTAATATCCTAATATCCTAATCTCCTAATATCAATATCCTACTCTATCCCCAAGTTTCTAAAACTATATGCTTTCCCTCCCACAACTCCCACTCTCCTAGTCTAGAAGTAATGTGCAAACAACGGGCAGAAGAAATCAGACGAGGCCCTTCTCATCATCCTGGTTTTCAGTTTGGACGGGCCATGGAAGATCCACATCAAATCACATCACACGAGGTTGCGGTACTGGTTGTCCCCTGCGGCCATAGCTTGAATTCCCCTCGGTGGCCGCTGTCCCAGCCCGTTTCTTCGCAGGTCATCCAGCTCTCTCCGGGGGCGCTGGCGGGGCACAGGGCTCGGTGCCCTGTCCCCATCGGCCAGTCTGCGGCGCCGGCCGCCTCCAGGAGCCGCATCCTCCTGCGCCTCCTGCTGCTGCCGCTGGCGCCAGCGCACCACGAAGGGATGGAGGCGGCGGCGGGGCCGGCGCGGGGCCAGCCCGGCCCGGCTCTCCGGGCCCTGCAGCACGCGGATGCCCCCGATGGGCCCCTGGCAGGTCGGGCAGGTGGCGGCGGCGTCGGGCCCGGCCTGGGGCTGGATGCAGGCGTGGCAGAACACGTGTCCGCAGGGCTCCACGGCAGCAGCGGGGCTCTGCAGGAAATCCACGCAGATGCGGCACACCCGCACGGCTCGGGGCGCTGGGGGCTCCTCCCTGACCTCCGCCATTGCTGCTCCCGGGCTCGATTGCTCTCAGCCGCTGGCAGGACTCGAAGGCTTAGCTTCCACTTGGGGCACTCGGAGGCTCCTCAACCTCTGGTGGGACTCAGAGGCTCCTCAGTCACTGGCAGCACTCAGAGGCTCCTCAGTCACTGGAAGAACTTGGAGGTTCCTCTTCACTCACTGACAGGACTCAGATGGTCGTCTTCACTCACTGGAGTAATTCAGAGGTTCCTCGGTCACTGGCAGGACTCAGAGGCTCCTCACTCACTGGAATAACTTGGAGGTTCCTTGGTCACTGGAAGGACTCAGAGGCTCCTCACTCACTGGAGTAACTTGGAGGTTCCTCGGTCACTGGAGTAACTCGAAGGCTCCTCGGTCACTGGAGTAACTCGAAGGCTCCTTGGTCACTGGCAGCTCTTGGAGGTTCCTCGGTCACTGGAGTAACTCGAAGGTTCCTCGGTCACTGGAGTAACTCAGAGGTTCCTCGGTCACTGGAGTAACTCGAAGGTTCCTCGGTCACTGGAGTAACTCAGAGGTTCCTCGGTCACTGGAGTAACTCGAAGGTTCCTCGGTCACTGGAGTAACTCAGAGGTTCCTTGGTCACTGGAGTAACTCGAAGGTTCCTCGGTCACTGGAGTAACTCAGAGGTTCCTCACTCACTGGAGTAACTTGGAGGCTTCTTGGTCACTGTCAGCACTTGGAGGTTCCTCCTCAGTCACGGCAGACTTGGAGGTTCCTCACTCACTGGCAGGACTTGGAGGCTCCTCAGTCACTGGCAGCACTCAGGTTCCTCGGTCACTGACAGCACACAGAAGATGCCCACACGCTGGTAGCACAGAGGCTCCTCAGATGCTGGCAGCGCTTGGAAGCTCCTCAGCTGCTCTGGGTCACAGCCCGAGTGTGCTGGCACTACCCAACGCTGGTGGTTATAGTTACGCAGGTGGTGTCACAATGACCATGAGTGACATGGCCTGACATCACAGGGCACTGAGGGACACACCCAGGAGCTCCCCCATCCACAGAGACAGATCCTGTGGCACACAGCCCACCTGGCAGTGGGCTGCACACCTCAGTGTTTGCCCAGATCCCTTCCAGGCAGTCCCTGCTGGTTTCCATGCCATGTGCTGGGGTCTGGGGCTGCACCTCCCCAGGGGGAGGACTCTGCTCAGCCCTTGGTTGAACTTCAGGAGGTTCCATCAGCCCATTTCTCCAGCCTTGTGGGTGCAGAGTCACCTTCTGGCATCTCAGCAGCTCCTCCCACTGTAGGAAATTCAGCAAACTTGCTGAGGGTG